TATTTTAGTAGTTTGACTCTGATTGGATGGTCTTAAATATACATTTAACTCAAAGAAGAATAAAATGGAGCTCACACAGAAACTCTGGACTGTTATTTTAATAATTGTATAAGWACTAATTTTTAAAATTTATTTTGTAATTAATTAAGAAGGTTAAATAGATATAATGGATACAAAYTGTTTAAAATACCTATGATGAAATATTAAAATATATTCTAACATTACTTAAAATTTGATATGCAGCAACGCCTAATAATTCACCAACAAAATAATTTAAAGAAAACAAAATGTACTAGCTATTAATTGATATAATATATTACCAACTTTTTAACATTTATAATATTTCTTTCGTAGAAAAGAAAATAGTTGGTTTAATGGCGAGTGTGAGTTGGTTGGCACTATTTTTCGACGATGTAGAAAACTTGCCTTATTTTATAAACATATATTATTATTATTATTATTTATTATTATTTATAATTATAAATTAATTAAATTAATCTAAATTAAATAATATATTTTTTAATTRGGTATATTAAAAAGAAACAATACGAAATTGAAATGCTATTTTTCTTGAATATTGTATTATGTAAATTAAATAGATAGAATTATAATTTACAATAAATGATAGYTAATTARTTTTAATTACAGTTGCGGTTCCTAGACGCGTAACCAGGTTTTTTTAGGCAAATGATTTATTTTTATATTTAAATGCAACATTTATTTTTTGGTGGCTTTATACACAGTCAATATTTATGTAATATCAAATATGAAATAGAACCAGCTGTGGTTYACATGACCACATATAACAACATATTTTGTAGAAATGTGAAGTACCTACAACTGATTATTGGGGTTATTTCAACATCCAAACACCCCTTTGGCTACGCCTTTGTCGATACCATACTCTGAACTTAACGTTTAAATAGCTGTTGCTTAATATTATTAATTTTTGTGTATTATTTTTGTGCATTTTTACTTTGGGTATTGATAAAATATGTTTTTTTTTTTTAATAATTATAATCTACACAAGTTGATATTCAATTACTAATTTTGATGTCGAATAAATAATAGTGTACATTAGCAGAAAGATAGCCGTGGTGGGAACAAGGCACTCGACAAGTCAATCCGCCAAGATAAGAGTACAGGTTAGGGTAAGCCAAAGCTTCCAAGTGACTAAGTAAGCATAAATTATAGACTGACATTGAATTGAATCCATATAGATATAAGATATCATAACTAATTAAATATCCGGTGACAACACTAGTAACAAATTTGTAGATTTGAGTTTTTAAAGTCTGTATCTTTTAAGTTTTTACCAGCAACTATTTAAATTATATTATATTTATATTACTCATAATTATTTTTAAATTAACTAACTTTTTGCATTTTATACTAACTTGTGTTTTATATAACGTTTGAAAAAAACTAAACAATCACACATATAATTACTTAAATTATATTATAAAATTATTAATTTACTTTTTGTACTTTATAAAATTGTATAGTTTTATATCTAAGGTTTAAAAAAATATTATTAACACACAATTTTCGGGAGATTACTCAGTCAACTTCCACGTGGGGTCTCTTGGATAACGCTAATTGACTGAAGGGACTCAACTCCGATAACCTAAAAATATTTGCGGGACCCAATTTTTTTTTTCGTATGGTGCTATGTCCGGGAGTAAGCCCGAAGGACTAGTTCGGACCCTATTTGGCAGAATTTCTATTGGGGCACTCGTAGGTTTCTGCCATGCCCCGGAGTGGGGAATGACGGCACTTGTTCTCCGGACACCGTGACTTGCCCGGAGTAAAATGTCGCCCGATGGTCGAGGATCGAACCCGATCCGGCTGAGCCACAGCCGACGTGTTAGACCGCTCGGCCACCTCGTCCCCAGGTTAGGTTAGGTTTTTCGGTCAGCTCCCATTTTGCCGCGGTACCATTTCGCCGACTTTAATTTTTCGCAGTTCCATTTTGCCGAATTTATTTTTTAAGTA